AGGAGCAGGAGCAGGAGCAGGAGCAGGAGCAGGAGCAGGAGCAGGAGCAGGAGCAGGGGCAGGAGCAGGAGCAGGAGCAGGAGGAGAAAGGGAAGGGAAGGAGGAAAGGATGATCGAGGAGGGAGAGCGATAAAAAAGAGGAAGGGCAGCAGCGTGAAGGGCAGGAATATACAAGGTGTGAAAACTCACCCTGAGACCAAGTTTGTTCTGAAGGTGAAGCTTTGCCGCTTGTTTGCCTGGTTGGTATCAGAAGCAAGCAAAAGATTCATCATCAGCATCATCATCATCATCATCATCATCATCATCATCATCATCATCATCAAAACATCTGCCGTCACCTTTCATATCATCGACGGAGAAGAAGTTGTCATAACTGCATTATCATCATCATCGTCATCAGCTTGTTCGTTTCTAATCAGCTCAACAGACCCCTGAAACTGCGAGGACAAAAACTTGTCTGTCGACGGATTCCACTCGTCAATATCAATGCCATTTAGCACTCCGTCCAGATGAGGAAATCTGAGGAGGAAGATTTATTCCTCTCCTCTCCTCTCCTCTCCTCTCCTCTCCTCTCCTCTCCTCTCCTCTCCTCTCCTCTCCTCTCCTCTCCTCTCCTCTGCCCTTTTCACCTGCTCCTGCAGATATCATGCAAGCCCCATCCTCCTTCTACTGTCACGATCTGCAACATGTCTGAGACAGCACCGACCGACGCCTCCCTTCCTACCTCCTCGCAGTAACTTGGCGAGACTGTAACTACTCGATCGGCGAGTTCGATGCCTCCCTGAAGTCAGAGACGTCAGGAGAGGCAGGAGTTGACTGTGAGGAGGAGGTGGAATGAAACTATCGGCAGAAACAAGAGGACACGCTGAAAGAGGAGGAGGAGCTCGAGCAGTAACAAGAGCTCAAAGGAGGAAGAGGAGGTGGTGGTGGTGGAGGTGGAGAAGGAGAAGGAGGACGAGGACGAGGACGAAGTCGAAGAGGACGAGGGGACGAGGACGAGGACTAGGTGGACGAGGACGAGGACTAGGTGGACGAGGACGAGGACGAGGTGGACGAGGACGAGGAGGACGAGGACGAGGAGAAGGAGCAGCAGCAGCAGGAAGAGGGGGAAGAGGGGGGAGAGGGAGGAGAGGAAGAAGAGGAAGAGGAAGAAGAGGAAAAGGAAATAAAAAACTCCTTTAGCCTCACTTTTAGCAGCTTGATCTGATTGTCATGAAACAGCTTGTCGAAGTAAGCTCCGTCAGGCAGACCGAGGTCCTCAGGTTTGCTGCCCAACAATCAGCAGAAGGAGAGACGGGAGGACGGAGGACGGAGGATAGATTGGATGGGGAGGGGGAGGGGGAGGGGGAGGGGGAGGGAAGAGAGAAGATTAGAAGAGGAGAGATGGGGGAGGGAATCGAGGTGGTGGGGAGAGGAGAGGAGCGGGCGAGCAGGAGGGGAGGCGGTGGGCAAACATCGAGAAGGGGGAAGGGAGAGGAGGACGAGGAGGAAGCGGAGGAAGCGGAAGGGGGGCGGAGGGAGTTACCAAACAGGAAAGTTTCCACAATATCCCATGTTGTGGATATCGAAGATTGTTCTTGCGCTGTTGTAGCAACCTGAGTCACTTGTAAGGATGAGAAATTCGAGACAATTAGATCCAGAGAGGAAAAGGAAGGGGAGGAGAATGGGAGAAAGGAGAGGATGGAAGAAAACGATCGCAGTATGACAAGCAGTAGCCGAAAGGATGATGTAGATGAACACGAGAGGGAGGGAGGAGGGAAACACGGCAAAGAGGACGAGGACGAGGACAAGGACGAGGACGAGGACGAGGACGAGGACGAGGACGAGGACGAGGACGAGGACGAAGATCAGCCGAGAGAGGAGACGAAGGAGAAAGGGGGGAAGAGGTAAGGAGTGAGGAGGAGGATCAGCAAGAGAAGGGGCGGAGATGTGTTGGCAGCAGTCACCATAACGGCGGTAATGAGACGTCATGATGAGGGGGACTAGGCCGACCATCCAGTCATTGATGAGGAAAACAACGTTGTCTCCTGCAAACCATCCATTACGCTCTCACTCGTCTCCCTCCTCCTCTGCTCCCCTCCCGCCCCTCGGCCCCTGCCCTTGTCCCTCCTGTCCTCTTGTGACCTCCCACTCCTCCCCTTCCGCTCCTTGTGACCTCCCTCTTCTCTCCTTGCGATCTCCCTTTCTTCCCTTCCCTCCCTCCCTCCCCTCCCTTCCCTCCCTCCCTCCCCTTCCTCCCTCCCCTTCCTTTCTCCCCCTCCAAACAACCGTAAACGGCTCCTCCACAATCGACGGCAAACGGAGCTTCGAGGGCAGCCTGGCAAAGAGGAAAAGTTGAAAAATGAGAAGGAGAGGAAGAAACAGTGGAGGAAAACAAGACATGACCAGCAAGATTGAGATGAGACAAGTTGTTGTGGTGATGTGATGCACAAAGGTTCGAAGAACAAACTCGACATGAGTCAAGAAAACTGAGGTGAAGAGGAGGAGGAGAAGGAGGAGAAGGAGGAGAAGGAGGAGAAGGAGGAGAAGGAGGAGAAGGAGGAGAAGGAGGCAAAGAGGGAGAGGGGGCGGGGGGAGAAAGAGAGAACAATTGTGAGAGGGAACGGGGCGGGAGATACCAAGCAACGAACAAAACAAGCAGGACGGAGGAGCACAGAGAGTCGACAGGCAGCAACATAAAACTCTTCAGCTTGTCATACCCAGGACAAGAGCGCGAATCGCATCAGGTCGTCATGATGTCCATACATCCCCGACCGCTCATAGCAAGAATTCTGAACGAACACGTGGTCGACCCCCTGACATCACGTGAGCGAGAACTCTAGATGCTTGACCCCATGGCAAACAGACAAGACAGACCTCCATGCCCTCCCTCTCACCCCCCACTCTCCTCCCTCCCTCCCCTCCCTCCCTCCCTCCCTCCCTCCCTCCCTCCCTCCCTCCCTCCTATCAGTCACCTTGCTCGGCTCCGATCCCTTGGCAGGAGTCGTCTCCCTCCACTTGTGGAAGTACTCGACCCTATGGTTCTGACCAGCTCTCAGCAGGAGCCAAGCACACAAGGAACCTCCCAACCTGGTTGAACACTCTGAACTCCCTCGTGCTCCCGGTCCCTTGGATCCCCTCGTACCTGTAACAAGCCAGTCACGTCAAGACTCTACCTCACTTCCTCCACTCGACTCCTCCTCTCCTCCCTTACACCCTCCTCTTGCTCCTCCTCTTGCTCCTCCTCTTGCTCCTCCTCCTTCTCCTCTAGCTCCTGTTCCACTTCTCCCCTCTGCGCTCCTCCCCTTCCCCGTCTTCCTCCTCCATGGTGTCCTCCTGCGTCACGCCCTCCTCAACCTCTCTTGCCCCTTGTCTTCTCTCCTCCCCCACCTCCAGTAGAGAGGAGCAACTGTCATCACTCGGTGCCCCATCCTTGAAAGTGCAACTCCGAGCTTGTCACAAACATCCGCGAGGCCTCCGGACTTGGAGAAAGGCGCAACCTGTCGCACCAGTGACACACTCTATCCCTCTTCCATTCCCCATCGCTTGTTGCTTTTCCTCCAATTTCCTCTCTATCTCTCTCCTCTCTCTCCTACCACTCCTGTCTCCTCCCTTCCCTTAATATCTCCTTCTTCCTCCCTCATTTCGGCTTCCTCTTCGTTCATCCTCTTTCATCCTCCTTCATCCCCGCTCCTCCCGTTTTCACCTCAGATGAGACAATAACCACGCTCAGCCTCTGTTCCACAGGAACGACCTGTATGGCAATCCGGTCACACAACCTCCTCTCCTCCCTCTTCTCTCCTCCCTCGTCCCCCTCTCCCTCGTCCCTCACCTCGATCTCTCCCTCCGCTGACTTGGAGTCTTTTGCAAGCTTCTCCTCCAAGAGCTTCACTGCCTCCTCCGATAGCGTCGCCTCCTCCCCCTCCTTGTGCGGCTTCGTGAGGACGAGCTCGTTCAGGCAGGAGTAGGAAGCAGTACGAGCAGGCATGAAGCCTCCTCCTCCTCCTCCTCCTCCTCCAAAGGGAGAAGACGCAAACTTATTGACAAACTTCTTGCCAGCAGACGACTGGCTCTCCTCCTCAGATGCCTGCGGAACTGGAACTTGTTCACTGGACTCTAGCTTGCCACGGCCTGTTGGCAGAGCAACCGACGACGATCCTCCCTTGAGGCGCAGAGGAGACGCCAAGTTTGCCTTCTGCGACATGAAACGCCGTCAAGAGTCCATGCGAGCAAGTCGCAAGGATTCACCATTAAGATGAGTTTGGCGTCCGAAAGACAAGCTGTGGTGGTGAGGGCGAACAAGATGGAGAGATGGAGTATCCGACGATGGCGAGTTGAGAGCACAGCGTCTCTGCTTCTCTCCCGCATGCTTCTTATCTCTCGAGCCTGCTGTGGTCCAAGTCAGGACAAGCTTCTCGTTGCCATTCAAGATGTTCAAGATAGTAACAGATCGGTTCCAGTCCTTTCCACCTCCACTCGTCATCGCTACTCAAGCTCGAAACAGGGTGATGGTGATATGAAGACACCAGAGATATGTAAAAACTGCAACTTGCAACGCAACGAGAAGACACTTCATATCATCAAATGAGCTATCATTAAAGTAAGCATGACAGAACTACAGGAAACGTTCAACAAGAGAAAGGATACAACGACAGTCCATATATTCATCCTCGTAGACCTCGCTTCCTTGTTCACGAGCTCCTGCTCCCTCTCTTCCTTTCCCTTTTCCTCCTTCTACTCCTCCTCCTCCCCTCCTCCGCCTTCTCCTCTTGCCATTTTAAACGTATCTGTGTGTCAGCTACGCCATGGGAGGCGCTCCTGGAACGGGGGGCAATGATAGGGGTGGGTTAAGATATTTGGGGGGTGGGGGGTAGTATAGTACCCACTCATCCTAGAAAATAGATCAGGTTTTTGTTAGGGTCTACACTGTCTTGAAAGGGTGCTGTCACAAAGGCGGTATCTGAAATAGGGGTAGGGGTGGGGGTTATAAGGGGGTAGGGTTGAGCAGGCGCAATGGAGCCTGTCACTCGTCGGATACGAGTAACAGACGGTCGGTGATTTTTACTTAAAGGTAAGTGAAAAACAGTACGAGGACAGTGATCCGACTCGAGACTGCTCAGATCAGTCAGTGGCACCCGGCGATCACGGTGAGGGGCGGGCGACGCCGCCGCGGCCCGTGATCCGGAGGGCCGGGGGGGAGTTCACCGTCCGATCACGGGCACTGCGCACAGAGCGGCGTACCGGCATACGGGTGACTGTGAACATCAAATTCACTGAGTCGCGCGCGCGCATCATGGCATCATATGATGACTCGGCCCCGAGTGCCGCACCGCCTCCACCGCCTCCACAGTCTCCACCGCCTCCACCGCCTCCGACACGACGATCATCGGCAATGATGGCCCGGCATCACTTCGAAGTTCGCCGAGTCGGATGCCGGCCTGGCGCCCGCGGCCCGGCCGGCACTCAGGACTCCGTCACGGTGACACGGCCGCGCGCGGCGGGACTGTTGAGCACAACGGTTCTGTAACGATCCTTGTTGAATGTGTAGCGGTTTGTAACGGCTGTTTCGAAGGCGGCAGCATGTCGGGACTGCGGGGTTGGGGCTGCTAAAGTTGAACCAGGTGATGAGAGGAGGAGGAGGAGGAGGAGGAGGAGGAGTGATGAGATGCTTGATGAGGATCAGGAGGAGGAGGAGGAGAGCAGCAGTAGGATGGAGGGAAACAAAAAATGAGGCTGGTATGGAAGAAGAGACCCAGTAGAGTAGGCGGCACGAGGGTTTTGTTGCCTGGCACAGGAGGCTGGATAGGAGGTTTTGAAACAAGAGGCAAGGGAAACGATGATAGCGAGGAGACAGCAGAAGCTTGACGATGAGAAGACAAAGACTCTTGCGCGAGAAGTGTTGTAGAGAGAGCTTACATTGCAACGAGGGTGTGCCTGAAGAAAGGGGGATCCGAGCAGTAGAATGGTGAGATTGCGATTCAAGTCTGTCAGACGTGCTGGCAGGTTAGCAGAGAGCGTAGATGTAAGAGGAGCAACCAGTGCCGAGAAGATTTTTGACATGAGTAGCAACTAGTGTGGAGAGTCTGTGGGCAAGGGAGGAAAAACTGGTGTTGAAATATCGTGATGTCCTCATCCAGGTCTTTGCTGGATTTGGTGAGAATGTCCCGCCCGGCCTTGCAATCCCGCGCGACTCCAATGCAGAGAGGATGCTGCAGCAGCGAGGGTTCAAAGATACCTTCCTGTCCGATCTCCGGTCTGTTACCACCAGTCTTCTCCTCCTCACCTTCTGCCTTGCAGGCTGGGAGTGCCAAGGTACGAAGCGGAGGAGATGCAGACGGAGCAGAGCACGGGAGTTCCGTCCTCGGACGCCGTCGACCGAGGGCTGCAAGGGTTGTCCATGGAGGACTCGACGACTGGCCGCACATTGAGCGCAATTTTCGAGTCTACAGTTCTTGACTTTGACATGTACCTCGATCAAGATCTCGAATGGTATGTTGCCTCCTCCCTCTCCTTCCCTCCCAACACTTCCTCCCTCTCTCTACCCCGTCCCTCTCCCCTTCCCCCCTCCCTCCCCATCCCCTTCCCCGCACTTGTACCCCTTTCTGTCCTCCCCTCTCCCTCATCCGTTTCCCCTTCGCCGGGGTTGGTTGCTGGAGGAGAATGACCGTTGAGCAGGAGCTGGAGCTTCGACAAGGTGCAGGACTACCAGGAGAGCATCACATGCTCGGGAGCGTTCTCTGGAATGTGCGAAAGCGAAGACAAGGCAACGAAGGAGGAGCTACGAGCCAAGGACAATCAAGACATGGCAAGAAGCAAGAGGGAAGCAGAGCTTGCTCTGGAGGTGACAAAATGTTCCAATCCTGTCTGAGCTTGTGCTGTCTTGTAGCCTGTCCACTCCTTCGTCCGCTCCTCCTCGTCTACCCTCTTTCTACTCTACCTCCTTTTTGCTCTCCCCGCCTGTGGTTCCCCTTCAAATCTTTACCTTTCCCCCTTCCCCCGTTCTCCTGTCCGAGTCTCAGACTTTCCGGCACGTCAGGTCGCCAAGTTCAACCGTACGAGATTCTCCAAAGGCGCCATCATCCCCCTGGCACACAACCTCGCGCACGTAGAGGTTGATCCCTCCCTTGATCCTCCTTCTCCTTCGTCCCTTCCCCTCCCTCCCTTCCCTCTCCTCTCACTCTCCTTGCCTCCTCCCCTCCCTCCCTCTCCGCCCTTCTCGTCCCCTGCCTCCTCCTGCTGAACCCTCGCGCAATCTCAGGTCTCAAGGTCCCTCCTGTCGGAGGCGGCTCAGATGCAGCATGCTGTGAAGCTCATCTACGACATCGTGGACAAGATCGTCTGCAGGTCCTGGAGCCTGGCAAGGCAGGACGGGAGCGCTGACGTCAGAGCTGGCAGATGCGTCCTCCCAGGAGGGGAGGAATCCTTCCGTCCTGAAGGCTACTTTGGGCTGAGGACGAAGGTTGAGCTGCAAGACGGCCTTTGCAACTCTTTCTATCAGATCGAAGAGATCAAGCAGGCCGAACTACTGCAGGGCTCGCTCCGGTGACCAGCAGCATTGATTTGCCCCTTTGATCCTGCTTCCCCTGACCTTCCCTGCTCTCACTCATCCTTCTGCTGTCGTCCTGCGTGTGCTCCTGCTCCTGCTCCTGCTCCTGCTCCTGCTCCTGCTCCTGCTCCTGCTCCTGCTCCTGCTCCTGCTCCTGCTCCTGCTCCTGCTCCTGCTCCTGTCTTTGCTTCTATGGAAGCTTTTGCCTATATTTTCGTGCACTTCTCCGCATCTCATCTATCAATCGCTGCAGTTGATTTCTTCTCTCGTGTGATGAGCTCTATCGCAGATTTCTTGAGGAGAGTTACTGGCAGTGGCTACGAGACGAAGTCTTGCCGTCTGTCCAATCTCAAGATCCATCACTCTCTACAGGTGAACTCCTCCCTCCCTCCCTCGATCGATCGATCTCTCCCTCTCTTCCTTCCTCTCTCCATCCCTGCCTCCCTCCATCCATCCATCCTTCTCACTTTGACCTCCTGCTCCTTGGGGATCCTCGTTGTTGGTACTCCTCCTGTTAACCCCGCCCTCCCTCGTCACCGTCGCCCTTGTCCTGTATTCTGAATTGTCATGACGCGTCATCGCCGGCGGCAGGGGCCAGGAAGGGAATGTCAGTCGCCGTTGGCATAGTCAGAGCATGGGTGAGATGGTTTCTTGGAGACGCGCAGGAGCAAGCAGGTGAGCATCGTCACTTGCACCACTTCATCAATCTCTCTTCTCCTCCCTAGCTCCTCCTCCTCCTTCCTCCCTCCTGCCTTGTCCCTCCTCCTCCCTTCTCCTTCCTCCTCCCTAGCTCCATCTTTCTCCTTCTTCTACTCCTCCGCCCCTTGCTTTACAGCCACCACCTCGTGCTCCTCCTCCTCAACTCTCGCTGTCACTACTTCGTCCATCTCCTCCTTCATTCTTGTTTCCTCGCTCTCGGGCAGTGACGTCAGAGTTGCAGGGTGGGAGATGGCTGTCTTCGACAAGAACGACCAGGTTCCGCTATGGCCGCAGGTCAAGTCTTGCTTGTCAAGCTGAGATGTCCAGCTGAAGTCCAGCTTGGGTCAGGTTTTCTTCCTCATTCGTACGGGGCATTACATGGATGCCTTGTCCATGGTTGATAGGTGAGGAGGAGGAGGAGGAGGAGGACCAGGAGGAGGAAGATGACAGGATATGTTCACAGGCATTCATACCATCCCGTGATCAAAGTTGCGCTGCGATCTTGGATCAACAGTGGGGGGAGGCATCGCATGGGGTTGACGGCTACAGGGAGAGATGGAGGAGCCGACGAGAAATTGTCTTCCCAGCTCGACACAGAGTTCTGCGAGCACGGTCATGACTTACCCCCCCTCCCAACCCCTCCCTCC